TCACTTGGTGCCGACCAGCTGGGCTGTGCTCTCCATGACGCCAGTCGCTTCAGGGATTTCCTGAGGCGTTCCACCATGAACAAAGCTTCTTCATGAATAGCAGTGTAGTCCAGCATCTCGTCAGTCTCGTTGGGATTGATCCATTCCAGATGCGAAGGTTTGTGATGTGCATTGCGTGAAGCCTTCATTCCAGTGGTTGCTTCCACGGCCTGCTGCTCAAACGGTAGTCTCCAGAATCCAGAACAAACTTCAGGATCTTCACCTCGCTCTAGTAGTTGCGCTCGTGCTTCTCCTTCTTCTCCTGTCTGCTGGAACTTGTCGATCCATTCTGCTGCCGATGCCCTTGAGGTGGGCACTCTGTTGTACCGTCGGCCTCGCGGCCCTCGACAGGTTCCAGCCAATAGTCTCGCTATCTTGTGAGCGTCGTAGAATCTCCTGGCTCTCCACGCATCCCAAAGACCCTCAATACGTTTTTTCCGTGAGGGATTGAATACACTGTTTCTTAAATTTCTTCAACTGTCGACTTAATCTGGCTACTTCGATGTTGCAGTCATCTGGGTACTGTGTCTCATTCTCCTTGGCCTGACGTCTCGCCTTGAGTAGATCTTTCAGCTGAGAGCTCTGTGCCAATGTTGCTTCACGTTTTTCGACGTACCCTGGAGACTTCTGCAGCTTCTCTGCTGCGACCTCTTGTACGATCTGCATGATGCCCGCGTTAAATTGATCCACATCTCCTGCCATCTCCCACTCTTCGAACTGCTGCTTGTGTTCAGACAACCGCTCTTCAACTTGTGACGAACTGTCGTCTACCCGTGCCGTACAGCAAGACCGCGTTGCACGCTTCCTGGCTGTATCTCAGCATCATGGGCTTCGTCTGGTACTCAAATGTGTGCCACATGGCCGTGTAGAGTGGGACGTGATCCTTTGGTGTATTGCACCTGATGTGCTGCAATCTCCTACCCTTGTTGACGGAGACGAAGCACTCTTCTACGTTCTGAATCATACTGCGCGGGCACGCCAAAAAATCAATACGTCTCACAACTTTTGATGAGATGCCGTAGTAAGTGGCGCCCGCGTCAAAGTACGTGTTGGCCAACACCAGGTCATGTGCCTGCAACGTCGGCTTGATGCTGCGAAAGTTAGGTCCTTCAGCGGCTGGCATGATTGTACCCGTCACTTGTGAGGCCGTCTCATCCAAACCACATTCTGAATTAAGATCCATTCCGATCAGCGGGAGGCACCGTGCTGGAAGAGAATTGAGCTGGTCGTGCAACCACTTCGTGAGCTCAGACGATATGGCCTTCTGCTCCGCCACCGCGCCTTTCCCCTTGCCTCTGGGCGGGTAGTACAGGGCAAACATAGCGAGGTCCTGGCGCCCCCTTTTGTATCTGACCATGAGTGCTCTGCCCTGTAGCTTCTTCTGGCCCTCGACTATGCGCACGATGTGTGTCTCGGCATACCTGTGTCTGTGAAGCGCTACTGCGACACCACACGCATGGTTGCTGTCTCTGCCGTAGCCCGAGTGAACGACAAAATGCTCTGCTGTTGCCTGCCTCGACGGTTCCCCTCGACTCCTGACCGTCGTCCCTTGGAGGAATATAAAGTCGACAGACTTGTACTCCATCGAGATGTCGTTGAGCCTGAGCGGGGCGGCGAGAGTCAACGGGTTGTACACCACCGTCCGCAAGCTCCGCCAACCGCCGCCGCTCCCATCCCTGGGCCCGCTCATCCTATCAAAACATGATGGCTGGAGGGGACCGGTGGGCGTGCTGCCGCTGAAGCTGCCTGATGTCTCTCGATCGAAAGGGGCAGCTGGGGAGGAGGAGGAGGAGGAGGATGAGGATGAGGAGGAGGAAGAGGAAGAGGAGGAGGAGGAGGAGGAGGAGGGCGAGAATAAGGAGGAGGAGGAGGAGGAAGGGGAGAGGGAGGGATGAGGAGAAGAAGCATGAGGAGGAGGCGGAACACGGAAATCGGAACTCGGGGATCCGCGAAAGATCGTCACTCAGGACGGCACTGCCGGGGGAGTGCAAGACAAGATAATCTTGCAGACCAGAGGAGGAGGAGGAGGAGGAGGAGGAGGAGGAGGAGGAGGGGCAGGAGGGGGAGGAAGGGGGATATGTGGAGGAGGAGGAGGAAGAGGAAAAGGTCGAGGAGGAGGATGATGAGTAGAAGGAGGAGGAAGGGGAGGAGGAGGAGGAGGAGGAGGAGGAGGAGGAGGAGGAGGGGGAGGCTGAGGTGTAGGAGGAGAGGGAGGAGGAGGAGGAGGACGACGAGAAGGAGGAGGAAACAGAGGAGGAGGGGTGGTGGAGGAGGAGGAGGCGTGGAGGAGGAGGAGGACCAGTGTAACCCCAAGAGCTACCAACGATCTTGACATAAGCCCTTCCTCCAAGCTTCCTCTCCTTAGGCTCCTACAACGTTTCATCGGGATGCCTCGTTGGAAGACAACCATGTGAAGACCTTGCAGCATGCCAAAACATGGTTTTCGGGATTCCAACGCCACGCATGAACCTGACTGTTGCGTCTTGACGATACTGGATGGTGCCAGAACGCCATCCCTGGGACTTCAACACCGTCAATCAGCGTTTCGGTTGCGCCCGCATCATCCTGAATCCGCCCAAGTGCGTTGATCATGGGAGTCCGTGAAATGTTTGCAAATGTTAAACGCGAATGTGCGTGGCGCTAAGGCGAGAGCCACATGTTGAAAAGGAACCGCTCTCAATCCGCGAAACTCTTGCAATTATTCACAAAGAGTGCACGCGGCGCACATGCGAGAACCACATTCTGAAAACCACCCACCCTCACTCCGTGAAGCTTTTCCATTGTTTCAACACGAATGCACCTGGTGGTAAGGCGAGAGTCGCAGTTTGGAATCCACCAGCCCTCAATCCGTGAAGCTCTTGCATGTTTTTGAGATCGACTGCGCGCGGCGCTAAGGAGAGAGCCACATGTTGACAACCACCCGCCTTCATCCGTGAAACTCTAGACGCTTCGCGTATCCCCACCAGCTGCTTTCGTCTAATTATTGGCCTGTCTCCGCTGCTTTAGTCTAATTCGTCGCTGCGTGGCCCGCTTTGACCTGACTCGCCGCCGGCGCGCTCGCCCGCGGCCGCTGACTAAAAAGTATCCCCACCAGCCTTCGGTGCGGACCGAGGCTCGCGCCTCCATGGACTTCCCGGGCACGGTTTCCCCTGACGCGGGCCTTCATCCGGGTCCCCCGCCGGCCGGCGCACGTTCGCGGCCTCGGCATTTGGGTTGACAGTTTCACGGCCTTCGGCGTCTGACGGCCGGCGGTGGTTCAGAGTGCACGTTCGCCCACCCGCTGCAGACGAATTTGGAGAGCAACGTGTCCATGGCGGTCACCTGCCCAGACCTTCGCTTCTGAATTGCGCCGCGTGTGCTTCTTTTTCTCCCTTTTTGCGTTTTTCCGTTTTTCTTTTTCTTTGTGTTTCTTCTTCTTCGCTTCTTTTTGTTCCGTTATTCTTCTTCGCCCGTGGAGTCCGCCGTTCTCTTGTCGTACTGTTCGAGCAACTAGGAGGGGGGCTCTTGCGTGACACTTCCTTGCAAGTCATTCCATGGGCGCGTGAGGATCGCCTCGTGATGTGCCTTTTGGGGCGTTCGAGTGCTATGCCTGGTAAAGTTTGCTGGTGCCCTTGTCGGGTTGCGGGCCCCATAGGGACAGGGTTCCCGCCAGAGTTTTCCTCGCTATCCATTCACCGACGAAGGTCCCGTTTGAGATTTCTTCCACACGCAGTCCAGAGGAGCCGAACAGTGACGACACTTACAGGATTCCGATGGCGCGTTCGGATTGCCAGCGTCAAATGCTGGGCCCATGAGGAAGGGGCTCCCGCCTGAGATTTCCCCGCAATTCATTCACAGACGAAGCTCCCGCGTGAGATTTCCGCCAGATGCAGTCCAGAGGAACCGAACAGGGACGGCACTTACAGGATTCCAGTGACCCGCTCGGGTACCAACATGAAATGCGGGTTCCATAGGCAGGGGACTCCCGCTTGACGTTTCCCAGACGAAGCTCCCGCGTGAACTTTCTTCCATGTTCAATCCAGAGGAGCCGAAAAGTGACGACGGTCACACGATCCCGATGACCCGTTCGGATTCCCAATGCGCAGTGCGGACCCCATAGGGGAGGGGTTCTTGCTTGGGACCCCTTCGCCATTTATTCACACACGAAACCCCCGCCCGAGAGTCCTCCATTTTCAGTCCATGCAGAGAAGCCGAACAGTGAGGAAAACTAAAGGATTCCAGTGCCCTTTTTTCGGAGTGCCAGCGTGGAGCGCGGACCCCATAAAGAAAGCACTCCAGTCGGATCCTTTCGCATTATCCAGTCAACGGCGAAAGTCCCGCCTGAAACTTCCTCCATATTCAATCCAGAGGAACCGAACAGTGACGACTGTTACACGATTCCGATGACCCAGTCGGATCGCCAACATGAGCTGCGGACCCCGGAGGGAGGGGGTTCGGATGATGACGGTGGTACAGACGATGACTAGCGTGATAACGATTGCGATAGTGACGGTGATGCGGTGGAAGAGACGGGAGAGGGTGGGAGGTCATCCTGCGCGGCGGTGTGCAGTGAAAACAGGAACCCCGCTTGGGATGTGGGGAATATGAACAAGGTAGTGGAGAAGGAGGAGGAGGAGGAGGAAGAGCAGCAGGAGGAGGCGGAGGAGGAGGAAGAGAAGGAGGACCGCCCTTCCCGTGCGTATACAATTCGACCCCATATAGATTCATTCAAGCGTCCAACGACACCCCGGAGCGCGCCAGCGCATTTGTATACCCCGTTTTTTTCTTCTCTCGCCAAGCCAACTTCACATATCGACTGCTTGGGGTATCGTTCCATGGGTCAGGACCCCCCCGTTGCTTTGACAGCTCCGTTTCGCGCGATCGACTCAGCAATCGAGAAAGTTGGGTACGTACGAAAAACAGATGCTAGAACGACCAGGGCCGACACCCTCCCTACCTCGTTTCCTTTCGCTCCCCATCAGAACCACTACAGCATAAACGTGCTGAGCTTCATGGGCGGCGCGGCGCTCTCTGCGGTCTCATTCCTGGGACGGGCAGGGGGCAATGGGAGGCGGGGGCCGAGGCGCAGACAAGGGTGTCCGCGGTTGGGTTGGCTCGGCTGCGTCGCAGTCGCTTGCGTCCGCTCGGTTCGGAACGCTCGGTTGCTGTGCCGCTGCTTGGTCGCTGCGCGCTTCTAGGCTGCTTTGGGTTCTGTCGGTTTTGGTCGGTGTCGGTTTGGTTGTCGGTTCGACAGGTCTTCGGTTGTCCTGTCGCTGCGGTCGGTCTTGGCCAAGAATCGGCGGCGAGCACCGGGGGGGAAGTGAGAAGGGGCAGGCCTTACCGGAATGCTCGGCTGGCACCCGGCCTTCTGAGAAGTCTTCTAAGCCTTCCCCCAAGACACGAACAATTTTTCAGAAGGCGCGAGGGCTTCTGAGAAGTCCCGATGCCTTCAGAGAAGATCTTCTCCTTCTCGTTTCCCCCCCTCCCTCGCCGCCGAAAGAAGGGAGGGGACGAGCAGAGAAGAGAGGAGGGACGGGGGTGGGTGAAATGGGGGAAAGGGAAAAGGAAGGAGGAGTACTATTGCTAAGGCCTTACGGCTAGTGCCGCCGATCCTGGATACCTCGGCCCTCGGGGATGACGGGATGCGTGGTAAGACGTCGGAGGTACATGGAGACGTGGCGGAGGAGGAGGCGGAGGAGGAGGAGGAGGAGGAGGAGGAGGAGGAGGAGGAGGGGGAGGAGGAGGGGGAGGAGGGAGGAGTAAAAGGAGGATGAGGAGGATTAATAGGAGGACGAGGGGGGAGGGGGGGGGAGGAGGAGGAGGAGGGGGGAGGAGGGGGAGGAGGAGGAGGAGTAGGAGGAGGAGGAGGAGGAGGAGGAGGAGGTGGTGGAGGAGGAGGAGGAGGAGGAGGGGGAGGAGGAGGGGGAGAGGGAGGGAGAGTGTCGCCCAGGGGGATGCGTATCTGCCCCCCCCGATGGGGAGGGTAGGGAGGGGCTTCGCGGCGACTACGAGTTCTTTCTGTTTCGTGTTCGATTTCCTTTTATTTCGGGCGACTACTACTACGACGACGACGACGACGACGACGACGACGACGACGACGACGACGACGACGGTGATCCACGCAAGACGGCGACACCGGGATGCGTCTTCCACACGCCGACAGGGTCGGCGGATTTCAAAAGCGTGGCTCCCCACAGATCTGGTGTCCCGCTTTTCACTCCGAGCGGTTTTTTGACCGTCCCGAGGCCCCGAGACCCGGTAGGGGGCCTCCAGATGCCGAAAGCTGCCAAACATTTTCCGACGTAGTTTTGTCACGAAGCGAGGATGTCAGCGGAGTAGCAGTCGGCCACGCGCAGAGGGGGGCGGGGGGAGGGGGGAGGGCTTCTTAGAAGTAGCCCTGTTTCTTAGAAGGCGCGGGCCTTATTTGTACGTAGATGCAAGGCCGGCGCCTTCTAAGAACAGCCTCCTTCTAAGAAGCCCTCCCCCCTCCCTCCACCCCCTTGTGCGCGCCGCCAAGGAGGAGCAGGAAGGAGAATTGGCAGTGTTGGAGGGAAAAGGGAGGGGGTCACGATGCGCTTCTGCGGCAGCGCCGTGGGGAAGTGCGCGGGCGCCGTCGAGATGGGGGGTGCTTCAGGCGAGAGCTCGTGCAAGAGAGCGGGGGTGCAGACATGAGGGGTGGGCACACTGCACAATGAACGAGCAGTGCATGTCGAGTTTTGTCCATGCGGGGTTACACCGCGAGATCACTGGCACCGCGATGCTCTGGCAAATTGCGAAGCCGCCGCGCTTCATTTTATGACCGTTCCGTCTCGCGGCGCCTCCTGGCAGACGGGCAGGGTTGCTGAACTTTTTTGGTGTGTTGTTTGGCCCGTTGAACTATGTCCTGAAGCTCTACCAGCTCGTCTTTGGCTTGACCATCTGTGCGATCGACGGGCCGAACGACAAGATACCGAGAGTGCAGGCGAGTTTTGGGGGAGTGGGGGGAATTGCTTCGGCCCTTACGGCCCGATCGAGATCGCGAGACCGGGGGATGAATTCATGAAGCGCGCAGTGGGGTTCCCCATGCGGGGAGAAGCCAGAAAACAAGGAGAAGTACGAGGAGTAGGAGTAGGAGTAGGAGTAGGAGTAGGAGGAGGAGGAGGAGGAGGAGGAGGAGGAGGAGGAGGAGGAGTGGGTCACGATAAGACAAGCGAGGATGATGAGGATGGCAAGCCGGACTAGGAGGGCGACGAGGAGGGCGTGGAGCACGAGGAGTACGAGTAGGGAGGGGATGGGGACGGAGGATCAGGCAAAGACGAGGAGGAGGAAGAGGAGGACGAGGCAAGCAGCAGCGTTCGGATAACTGCATTGCTGTCATTGCCTGATTGCCTCAGGAGGGGGGAAGGGAAGTGAAGGAGGAAGGTTTTTGTTGGCTTCGTGGCATGTGTGCGGGGGGGCCCGTATCTTCTGCTGGAAGTTTCCCTCATGCGCTCTGTCATTTCTCCCACGCGCCGATGTGGCTGCAGTGTGAAGGCTGGGCGCTGTCGCTCCAGCGACGCAGTCTCCAGCGTCGCAGCAGCCCGCAGTCATCGCTCGGGGTGGGCTCCTGCGAGCCAGCGCGGCCACCCGCGTGCACGGTACCAGCGTGCCTCTGTTTCTTCAGGGTCACGTCCGCGCTTCGCAGGCGGGCTGGCCCGTGAGGCCCTGATGGGCAGCAAGAGCTGTTCTGGCAGGAACCTGCCGTGCACATGACGCGGTCGGCCTGGACCAGAGCGAGGGGCACACGTGCGACCATGTGTCTCTCCAGCGCTCGGTCCCTTCCGTGGCCGTGGAGGCTGGGCGCCCGCGCGTGCGTCTGTCGGCGTGTCCTCCGCATGTTCCTAGTCTGGCTCCATCTGAATGCGTGAGTGTGTGTGTATCTGTGTGTGTGTGTATCTCTCTGTGTGTGTGTGTGTGGCCAGGACCGTTCTCAACGCCTGCGCGGCCGAGATCGGTCTGCCCACCTACCAGCGGCCGCCCCACGTGGTTGCGCGCTCGCCTCTCCGGGATGGCACTGCCAGCGCTCAAGCGCCCCTGCCTCCCCGATGCCCCACCAGGCCAGGGATGCGAGGTCCCCTCGGCGCCCGAGGATATCGCTCCTCGTGCGACCTCTGCGCCACCGCAAGGACTGCTGTTGTCGCGCCACCCCCCAGGGACCAGTGAGGGGCTGGCTCTTGCTCCCTGTTCCTTTCCCGTTCTGTCAGGCCGCCGGGCGTGCGCGCGGCGACGACCGAAACGAGTGTGTGTGTGTGTGTGTTTGTGTGTGTGTTGTGTGTGTGTGTGAGTGTGAATGTGTGTGTGTGTGTGCGAATGTGTGTGTGTGTGTGCGTGTGTGTGTGTATGTGTGTATGCCGAGAAGAGTGTGTGTATGTATGCGTGTGTATGCGCGCGCGTGTGTGTGTGTGCATGTATGTGTGCGTGTGTGCGCGTATGTGTGTGTGTGTGTGTGTGAGAGTGAGTGTCAGGGCTCGGCCGTCTCGACGCGCGTGCGCGCTCGCTCCTCTGACTTCTCTCTACCCTGTCATCGTGCGCGGGGCCGCGACGCCAAAACAACTTGTGTGTGCGTGTGTGCCACAGAGTCGTGGTGCGCGACATTCGAGCAGCTGCGCCCCTCCTTTCACTTCCTCGGGCCTCCCCCCTGCCTCGGTGGGCCTCCCTCGCCCTCGGGGCCCCGCGGGTGCAGCTCTACCGCCGCCTTCAGACAGGGCTTCCGAGGATCCGAGCACCTAGCCGTTCCCAGAGCCGGCGATGGCCCCGCGGAGCTCGTCGTCGTCGTCGCTGTTGTCGTCGATTCGTCCTCGTCGTCGTCGTCCTGCTCCTCCACCTAGTCGTCCGCCGTGGTTTCCTCCTTATGGTGCTTTCTCCTCGCTCTAGTCCTCATCTTCCCCCCATCCATCCCTTGCGCCTGGCGCCAGGCTCCCTCTCGCGCTGCAGGCACCCCTCAAGGCTCGAAGTTCCACTCGGCACGTGGACTGGCAAGCGGGATGCGATTGAGCACGCGGGAAAGGGATGGGAGGGAGGGGTAGGATTCAGCCGGGCCTGTCCCTCTACAGGAGGAGCGCTCAAAAATTGTCAAAAAATAGTCTGGAGACGATGTTTCGATTGTTATTTGCATTTTTGGGGGATTTTTTGACTATCATTCATTTTTCGTCCAAAAGCCGCCGGTAGGGGGACATGCCCGACCTACGGGTAGGATGTCGGATGTGGCGCTGGCGCGCCGATCCTGCCCTGCGCCCCGTCTCCGCTCCCTCTCCTTTCGCTCGCTTCTTCTCCTCTCCCCTCGTCCCTCCTCGTCCCTCCTCTCCCTCCTGTCCCCCTTTCTTCTCCCCTCCCTCGTCCCCTCTCTCCCCGGCGTGCCGTGCCAGCCGGCGCGGGACCTCCCTGCCCAGGCGTTCATAGTGCAGTACACGCCAGTGCTGCACAACAACCTCGGGCGCTCTCTCTTCTATTTGTTCATCGCGAGCCTCGAGGGCACGCAGGTTGAGGGAGGGAGGGAGGAGCAGAGGGAGCTGTGAATCCGAAAGCCGGAACAGGGTGACCTTTTGGCCCCGGCCCTAAAATCACGCAGCGCGGGGATGACGATTGAAACATCACATTTTAGAACCCCCCCGCCCCGTGGACTACCTGCTTAACGTATCCCGGACCTCGGTGACACCGAGCCCGACCCGCGCGGAATGGGCGTGACACCTGCATTCTGGCGCCGCGCTTGTCTTGGAATGGTGATGCTCCGGCTTGTGCGTGGGCCACATCTTTGGTTCAACAAGCTGCTGCGGCCTAGGCGCCAGCGACATCCTTCATTGAGCGCGTTTTTCTCGCCTGTGCATTGCATCGAAGCAGGAAAAGTGTATTGGTCAGAATGTTGTCCTTCCAAGCCTTGCAGTCACATCGAGCTGGGCCCTCGAAGTCTGGTCCTCGGGGATATGCTGCGCAGGCAGGCCTGGGGCAGCGGAAGGGGGAGGGAGGA